AGAGGCACGTGCTGGACAAGATATGGTCACCATGGGAGGATCACAAAAGAAAACTTATACCAATCTAAAAAAAAAAAAAAAGTGTCTGGAGCAACCAGGGACAGAAATCATTACTAGACGTAACACAAACGTCTCCACACACCCTGGCTCAGAGGTTTCAGTTCTTCCAAATGACACACTTCCTCAAAACCCTCAATTTACCCAAGGGACCCCTCAGAGACACTACCGACTTTGAACAATTATGCTCGAGCACGACATCAGTTACTAAAGCAACATTAAAATGCCTTAAATTACTCCAGACATATATACACAAAGGGCTCCCTTGGTTCAAGCGCAAATGGGAACACTACCTGGGATGCACACTGAGCTAAAGAGAATGGGAGCTGATCTTCCGCAGAACCTTCTATTCCCACACAAATGTGGAAAAATCTTTAATATCAATTAAATGGAAATCTACCTCCCAGATAGGGTACCGAGAATAGGCTGCCAAAGAGGAACACTTTCGGGTTCTGGAGGAACTCAGGTTGGCATCATTGGGGAGGATCTCACGGTATACCGACATTTAGAAACCGTGGATCTCACACATTAGAGGGATGCAAGGGAGACACCTGATCTAACATGAGACTGCTCATCTGAGAATATGCCCTCTTATCAGCATGGTAACACGAGCCTAACTCCCATATGACAAATGCAATATCACGAAAGGTTTGAAATAAGTGAACCGTTTTAGTTTGCTCTTTTACATCTACTGATGGTATTGATTTCTTGCACAATTGTGAGATAACGTCATGTCATCCAACAAGTGTCTATTTTTCTTTTCCTTCTTCTTATTGTTCTTTTTCCCCCCTATACCACTTATGGAGTACCTACACAGAACAATAATGTGACGTACGCTGTAATGTAAACAGTAATTCCACTGCTATGTTGTGTACCATGTCAATGATTTGTACTCACCTTGTTATATCTAAAACTTTTCAATAAAAAGAAAGTAAATTAAATAAAATAAATAAATAACTAAATTGGGAACAAACCTCCTTGCTATCACACCATGTTAACGCAGCTAGGTATCAGAATTTGCATCAATAACTTTGGAGTATGACACATTGTACTGAACTGTTGTCCTCTTGTCCTTTTATTGTTTTCCTGCGTTTCGTATACCTTGGCATCAATTGAAACCATGTCACCTGGTTGTTTCTAAGTGTATAACATAATTGTGTAACATGATTGTATTTTACTGGATGTATCGTTGTTCAAAAAAAAAAAAAAACGCCAATAAACTATTAATACATTTTAAAATAAAAGGACAAATTGCAACAGAAATACATCTTTCCTTTTTATCCTACCATTACATGACCTATTTACACATACATCGTCATCAATTAGGAAATAGAATGCACATTACTCTAGAGAAAACTTGACATATTAATCGTTTTCTGCTAAAGCTCCTGAAAGAAATATGTAATAACGATTAGCTGGAGTAACACTGATCCAACAAAAGACTTTAAATCATCATTGTGTTTTAGTAGACGGAAGCAACTTGTAAGAGATTTAAATCAAAGAGAACAAAAGAGATGGCTGTGGGTGTGAATTCTTTCTCTTCCTAGGGTCTCATAAAATTAGCCTATGCCCTCTTATGTCTGGGAGCAGCTTTTTAACCAAATCTTTTGATGGTTTATATCATTATTTGTATCCCTTTTACAATTATCTAAAAGGCAACAATGAAAATACCCAACAGCTCAGAACAAAATCATTGACCTCGTCAGTGGAAATCATAAATTCACTAGGTTTACCACTCATGAAACTAACTTGCTTTTAGAGTAAATGGTCAATGTTGCTAATGTTAGTTGAGTGATCTCAGTTTCGGTGGTAGCCTTCATTTTTAGTAACTCACTTTTTATTATAACATTTCCCTTTACATGCAAAAAGCTGTGTTACTTCTCTGTGATATATAAGCTTACACTCTGTGGCCACTTTATCACACCCTCTTCTAAACACAAATAGTCCAACAATTAATCATATAGCCACAATTGTTCAATAAATCTTTATTGTACGAAAACCCTGTGATTTACGCAACTGGCTATTGTTTGTAGGTGTTATATATGGTAGCTCTGGCTTCTTATAAACAGCTAACCTCCTGAGATTTTCATGCAATAAAGTCTCTAGATTTTACAGAGTACAGTCAATGACAAGAGTTAGAAAGGTCAATCTCATGGTGACATGTGCAAAGTAAGCAGAATTATGGAATGAGACAGACACAAGTTCAGTTGGGCTAGGGCCATGACATTTACTACAGGGTGTAGTAAAACATATAATTAATAAATAATCAATAACCAGCTTACATCATTTAAATACATAAATATTTTTTTTAAATTATCTGGCCATTAAGCCAATCAGCCACACAACATGATTCCTTTCTTTTAGCATATTGCAAAAAAGAGCCATGCTCAATAACATTCACCAACGGATGACTTTACTCTACTAAATGCCAGGTGAAATTATTGGGATTATAATGATTTCATAAATGCAGTTATTTGGGTATAGAAGGAGAGTTACAAACACTGCACTGTGTTCTTCTTAACTCCTCGTCTTTTTGGCTGACACAGCACTTCTTCCAGATGCAATCTCCTGCTTTTAAACTCAGTTTCCCATTGTTGGATGTCTCTCAAATGCAACTCATCCCTATCCCCTGCATGCGCCCCTGCTCTAATTTGCCTGGGGTAAGATTTAACTCTCCAACCTTGCACACGTTGTCACATGAATTACCCAGAAAAATGAAACACCTTTCTTCAACACATCAGACCTTGAAGGGAATGGGTTACTGCTCAAGTAGGCATACAAGGAGTAGCTATACTCCTGCTAGATAGGAACATGCACTGCATGCTTCTCTGAATTTTGGCAGATCTTCTACAAGATGTTAATATATCTTACGGGAAGTGTATCCGAGAATAACAGTGTTGCGCAGCGTGCACTACTGAGCACAGAGCAGGTTCATCAGCGGCCAGCCCCTGTCCCGGCAGCCTGCACAGCCCATGTGACATGAATGATCATGTGGACATAATAAAACGGAGGCAATGTGGCATGATGAGGGCATAATAAAATAGAGGCAAACTAAAACATATGTAGGCAATATAGCATGTAGTCATAATAACATAGCTTGCAATCATATGTGTATTATACTCAAACATGGCAATACAGTTTTATTAGCCAAGAGAGAGGCCGCCACAAAATTATCTTGAAACTATTTCAGGTTTACAATTGCAAGAGAATTCAGTGGGCACATACATGTAACAGGAAAAAAAATTACATAAAAAATATTCCTGCGCACACCAACTACTAAAAATTAGAGGGAACACTGGCCCTATTCTTTCAAACTTACAAACTAACAGGGAGTGGTTTTCATAGAGGGTGTGCAATTTGAAGGATGAGGAAAGTATGATTGTAAGGGGCAATATGTGGTAGTAAATTATATCTAAAGTGAAAAGATGATGAGAGGCTTGGTAGTTTAGGAATCTGTATGGGAGATTAGATGGGAAGTAGGTATGCTTCTCCAGATAGATGAATTTTTGGAGAAAGTCAGAGTTATGTATTGTGGGGAGAGAGTCTGATACAGCAAGTGAAAGAATTCCGGTAAGAAGTCATGGAAACAGTGGTGTGAGGAAATAATGTGAAGAGAGGAGCAAGTCTCTATTCAGAAAATGTTGGGGTGTTGGTTAACAAGCAGAGGTGCTCAAGACAGACTGGGAGAAGGTGGCAGAAGGGCAAGGCAATTATAACCCAATGGCAGTAATCCAGATGGGATCTTACAAGAGAGTGGACTAGCGTTTTGGTTGTTGTTAAAAATATATGCATTACAGATGTACTCTAAGTGAAAGTGGCAGGAATTAGCGAGTGATTAAGTGTGGGAGAAAACATAATCAAATGTAACAAAGCAGTTGGCTTCAACAGTTGTAAGATTGGGGCATTATCTACTGCATAAAGTCATTTCAAATGTTGTGACTGCCATACAGAGAGAGATATTGCAAATAGATGTTGACTGGCGCAAGATAGCGAAGGTGACAAGTTTGGAAAATAGAGGTAAATCCATCCGACATGAGACTAGACTAGTAAGTATGCTGAAAAAATGATATTTGGACAACTCTGATAAACCCTCTTCCTAAATACAATGATATAAATAAAAATAATGCTGGCTATCAAGATGGTGGTCCATGTTCCAAGTGACTTTTATTAGTACAGTTTCTCCTACATAATGTGTCTTTTGTTTGTCCATTTTAGACTATGACCGAGATTTAAAGCACAATAATTTAATTAAATATTCCACTCCACTGTGTGCCCGACCCTATGCGCTGTATTACATAGAATGTAAATCTGTTTGAGCAAGGCCTTCTTCGCCTTTTATCTCTGTTAATTTTTGTATGTCAATTACTTGTCAAATTTCCCAATTCTAAAAAGCTGCAGAGTATGTTGACTTTATATAAATGCTAATAATAATGTATTTAATTTGGGATTAATGGTAACTATTTAAATTTTAGTCAGCATTCACATCTTGTATTTTTTTATGTGTGTTAGATTTTAATTTTGTTTTTAGATGTTTATTTTAATTTTGTTTTCTCAAATTATGGTCTATTCTGCACTTGGTGGAGTGAGACAGTAGTCCAATATGATTTGACAGGGATTAGTGTATGTGGGAAAGTTTACATTAAGGCTCCGGACAAAAAGGAAGCACTGAAAGTAGCAACAAGGTGATGATTCTGGGATGTCCAGCCTTTCATTTGTATGCAAATGTATTTTGGAGGCAGGCAGTTTATCTCTGACATCAGACAGGGCCCTGGTGAACTGTTACTGCCTGCACTGGTCACATTATTGTTAGTAATGTGCAGTAAACAGACTCCAAAACTAGCAGGGGTCATTTATAGTACCAGTAGTAGATAGAAAGGAAAGGAAGGAGAGGTTGCCTTCAGAGTTTCAAGGACAAAGATGACCACAGGCGGACTGGCACAGCTATGAACAGCGCGTGTGGCCGCCACGGTTCGCATACAGACGGTAGTATGTATCCACTTTCTGTGAGATCCAATAACAGCCACCATCAAACAGGACAGAATTATGTATCAAATCCACCCTATATCAATTACGTGGCTTACCACCATGTGCCAAATATGGATAACCAAGAACAGTCTGTAGGAGTTTGGGGGTCTCAATATGGATCTCCACGAGAGGACTATAATTCCTATGCTGCTCCACCGATCAACACGTGTACCTTACAATCTTCTGATTTACCAGCTAACCAATTTGCTTACAGTTCTATGGGCTACATTTCTCCACATTCTTCTGCACCTGGGATTTTACATTCTGTAGATTCAAATCATGCAGCTGCCATGTCCCCCGGTAATCAAAGTCAAAATTCCTATGAGTGGATGAGAAAAACCGTGCAATCCACTTCTACAGGTAAGTTAAATGTTATTGTTATTCTATTATCCAACTATAAAGTTTGTCGTGATATATTATAAGATTATTTTGATTATCCTTACCCACTTCTCCTGGAAAACTTTTCCAGGTATTTATCATCTCTTCTTGTAAAATATCATTATTACATATTAGTTTTGATCTTTGGCCTAAAATACATAAAAGGATTTGTATTATTTAAATTAGGTGATCAGAAGAGGTACGCTACAGCTTATAATTATAATCAGTTTGCTGAAAAAATACATTTCTATATTTTGAAAAAAATCACAAAATGTAGGCTTGCAACAGAATGTCCCTCATAGGTACACGTGATCCATTTGTCTATCTTAGCACAGTTAGAAAAAATGATACATGCATGACTTCTAAAGCAACATTAATAAATTATGCTGATTAGGTACGGAACCAAAAATCCAGCACTTTACTCACTATTCAACAAGCTAAATGGAAAGCAGATCATGCAATATTCTTCACAGATGTGTAATGATATGCTAGATAACATATACAATTCCACTATTTCATCCTTTTCCCTGTATCTGCAATCAAACTATCATTTTAATAGCTCCCAATGTGATATTATTATTATTATTATTATTATAGAAATCAAATTGCTAATGGTTGTGTTTGGGGTTTTTTTAACTATAGAGTGAAATTACATAATTTATGCAATGTGAAAAAAGTATCCCAATCGCCCTTATTTATTTTCTTAGCAACTTTTTAGAATATTTAGCATTTTAAATGATTTTTAGCAACCTTTTTCGTTTATTTTTTGTCACTTCCGAAACTCAGCTGTCAACGTCACAACCTAACATGTTTACAAATGCTTTTTATATCTCTCTACCATCAATTTCAAACTCCACTGCAAATTCCTCTTTCATTCTATTTCTAAGATTCTGGGGATTCCCATAAGTCATGTGAACGTATATTATAAAATATATAGGAAATATTTTTAGTTACACTACAATAAATCATTAAATAATGCATGTCCTTCTACTTTTTGGGGGACAAAAATCATGATCACAGTGGGTTAAATAGTTTAAAACTGTTCATACAGTATGGTGTCCTTTAAAGACCACTGACAAATAACAATATTAATCGCTGAAAAATTATTAAGAGTTGAAAAATAATCATAATTAAATGCTTCATAATATTACCAGTGGTTTACTTAAAGAGGCAGTAAACACAAGGTTCTTGATTTCATAGTTACATTTATCAAAATATAACATAGATTTATATCCATAGTTTACTTAAAGGGACCATAGCACAATTTTTGTTGTTGATTTCTCTGTGGATATATTAGACAAATCGTAATTTTAATCTTAACTAAATTTACTATGGGAAATTTTCCAGTACAGATGTCATTTAGAATCAGACTGTGCCTTTTTTATATAATTCAACACCCTGATCCATCTAACAGACCTCCATTTAGTGTACATGTATACAGAGTCTCTGCATATATTTTATTAGCATAATATAACAAGCGTACTCAGCATTCTGGTGGTTAAGCAAAGACTAGAAGGGTGGAAGATGGTGCATTAGTTATACATAGTAGGATCTATGCTTATTATATATATAGCATAACAATGTACTCAGCACTTTTCTAGGTTGCATTGCTATTAAGACGAGTTACAATTAGTGCTGTTTTTATAGGTACATTATGTAATAGGGAACAATATACATATGTTTAGACCTATAGAACGGAAGAAAGGGATCAGCGCTCTCTATCTATACAAGATACAACAGAACAATAATGAATAAGTAAAAAGTGGCAGCACACCTAAAAAGTAGGGCTCCCTCACAGGCCTTACAACAGAAATGGTACAGAAAAAAGAAAGGAAGGCAGCGCCACTACAAACCACATAAATTAAAAGAGCATAGAATAGGCAGACTAGAATACTCTTTTAATTTATGTGGTTTGTAGTGGCGCTGCCTTCCTTTCTTTTTTCTGTACCATTTCTGTTGTAAGGCCTGTGAGGGAGCCCTACTTTTTAGGTGTGCTGCCACTTTTTACTTATTCATTATATGTTTAGACCTAGTCTACATTCTCTGCAATATATTATAATTTGATTTTATTTGAAAACACAAGCTAATGATGAGATGTTTTGGTCTCCTGTCCAAGACAGGGTCTCAAATATTGCTTCTGTTCTTTCTGTAAATGTTAGTTATTATATATAGTTTTTAAAATCACATGAAATTAAACAATATTGATAAAAGTTAACACAAATTTTGATGAATCCTGCAAGTTAAATATGTGTGAATAATAGAACAAAATTGTCATTCACTGAACCTGGAAAAATATAAAAAATTTTCGACATAAAATAATGAACACCAGCACAAAGCAGATATGAGGAACCAAGAACAGTTAAAAACTTTGTTATATTTGTCATAAATATTATGCAATTTTATCTGTCAAATAGTATGACTGATATCTACTGTACGAGGAAACATTTCAATTGTAATATGCATTTTATACCTCTTCCCAGAATGACCAAGCACATAAAGAAGGTTATCCTCCACAAAATGGGTTCACATCTTAGCAACAGTATGTAGACGAAGGAGAAGTATTTTTTGGTAATATACATTTGATATCTCTTCCTAGAATTTACAAGCACATAAAGAAGGTGGAGTGGAATTCTTCCAAAAATAGCTTCAAGGTTTAGCAACAATATGTAGATGGAGAAGTATTCTTTTTTTGTATTTTTGGTAAGGATAGAAGTACGATAAAGTAGGAAAATAGCAGGCTTATGTTCAACTTTTGGTGATTTATGGTTTTGAAACAAATTGAAAAATAAGAAAAATATATTTTAATTCATGGGAAATGCCACCAAAGGTGGAAAATTGGGGAGCATGATGGAGAAATAAAGATATAAATTTCTGTGTTATTATTAATGGTACATATGAGTTCTAAGCGTGCAAGTGTTCTAGAAAAGGTTGCTTTGATTTTAGTTTAAACTCTAATTAGTATATAAGGTAAAGTAACTTATCTATAAATGTCAGTATTCTATATATTGATGAGAATTTGAGTGATAAAAGCACAAACTGGTAAGTGGGGCCTATAGAAAAGGTCCCTGATTTTATTAATGATAAATATAACCTTCTCAAAGTTAGTAAGAGTAAATTGGTCCCCTATTCCAGCAATTCTATGAGGAGTATGGGCCGTAGTACCAAGTCGTTAATATAATACTGAAGATAGCAACAGTTTTGGCAAAAGGCTTTTAGTTAAAGCCACATAGTTGGATGATTAGTGTATACTTAGATGCATTAAATTAAACATCCAGGAATAGCAGCAACCAAGTCTGTTTATTTTTTTGTTTTGTTTTTTTAATTAAAGGAAAATAATCCTTTAATTCCAGCTTTATATCATGTACTAAGACAATCAAAGCACAAGACACGAGTAATGGATTTAACCCTACTCACTATGAAGCCAATTACACAGTGGACATTTTAAGCACTTGTCAAAACCAGCTCCTGTTTACTGTTAACTGCACCAGTCATAAAAATAAGTGCTAGCGGGTATAAAAATGAAACAAGCTGCAAATAAGGCATGAAATCCGCCTTAGAAAATGAGGTAGGATGATAAAAAAACACCAGTTTTCAAAATGTAGCCCTGCAACAGAACATTTATACCAGGATAGCTAGTTTGTATCAATCAATGAAGTAGTCGTTAGATTTTGGACAGTCATCCTGACAGATAGGTAGTGTAAGAAGCACAACAGATTTACGTTCCTTTATAAATTGTTTGATTTTGTTTTGATTATTCTAAATTTCAAACCTGTTTTTTTTTTTCTTCAAAATGTAATGATCTTTTTTTAAAACTACTTCCTACAGACTTTAAGAGGTCTGCTTTAACACATTAATATGCAAGTATGTAAAACTGTTTGGATGTTAACATCCTAACCCTCTCAAGACCAAATTCATATCAGGGCTATTAAGATAACAAGGTTTTCTTCTGGGTTTCTTAAATCCCAGTCATGAATGGCCTTTAAAGGAGTCAGTGCAGTCAAAGTGCTTCTCATGCTAATGATGGTGTCTTTCTAGACCAGTTGTGAGGTCTGCTTTTTTCCCCTTGTCCATGGTTTTAAGACCCATCTGTCATTGAGGTAGCATGGCCTTTTCACACCTCTTCCCCTATTCACTTTGATATTCAGCTTTGTTTTTTCTATATCTTCCTTTTTTCCTCTATGGGTTATATTGCCCAGACAGAGTGCTGGTTTTCACAGCTAGTAAAATAGCCTTTTTCCTTTTATTGCCTATGGACGACTTGCCTTGTGTTTTTTATGACCAAGGTATACACTGCTGCCTTGTCTTTGTGTTCCTGTAAATCTTGGGCCTACTTAGATATTTGTGATTTATTTCTTATACCTTTAAAATCTTTAATATTTAATGGAAATCCAAAATGTTGTTTGGAATGTAGTTGACAGAAGCGTTTTAACACTAGTTATTTGACAGACAATCGTTTACTGTTTATAAAGCAATATACATAGTCAAAAAGTTGGAGTGGGGGGGAGATGCTCATGGGAAGAAAGATATTCTGGACCTTTTCCACAAAGGACATATTGAGCTCATGCCACAAAAGAACCACAGGTTTTTGGAAATGATACAAAAGGAATTTTAAGACTAAACACTACTGACAACTTTGGGAAGGTGTCATAAATAAACACAGAGCAATTGACCCTTCTGAAGGGCTATTTCCCACAGGGCGGAAGTAATTTTTGTTCAGACCAGTAGGAAACCCATAAAGTCAGTAAAAGGATTCCATGGATATATTTGAACAATTGTAGTTAAAAAGTAGGAAAAGATGTCTCAAAAGCTCTGCAGGTCATTGTATATAACAGGTACAAGTTTTCTCCATGTTTACAAATCTGTCCTTGGTAAATACGATACATTTTAAATTTTTTGTACAGTAAAAAAATGTTTATTTTCGTTGCTACCCAATGCTTTCTCCAGTCGAGCTAACATTTCAAAGTTCAGCTTTATAAGTATAATTTAAACCATATCTGGTTTGGGAGTCGCAGAAAGATTATTGGTGGATATGCATAAAGCAGTATACATATAATATATGGTCCTAAATAGGATGTGGTGTATTTTATTACAACAAATAACTTGTCAAAAATAAAAAAGAAATAAAAAAATATTGATTAATAAAGTAGGCTATGTAAACTCTTTATAAGTTCTGTGTCCAAAAAGTTTGGAATTGATACTGGTTATTTTGATATCCATCCACACAAGCATTCAATGGTCCAGTCAGTTGGAAGGCAAGCATAATTTATCATTTCCATCAGGTTTACTCAGTAGCTTGCTGCTTTAGGATGATGGGAGCTGTGGCACCTACAGCTCCACAGGTTGACTATTCCTAATCGGGCACAACATACGTTTACTGAGAGAAACTAACAAGAAGGCTTGAGAGAAAACATTGTGCGGAATGGACGGGTTCTTTCAATATCTAAGTGCAAAATTCCATATTAATATTATTTGTATTGCAACATCATATTCCATAATACTTAACAGTTATAGAAAGGGTATCTTGGTTGAAGAAGGCCCTGCTCAAACAAGCTTACAGTCTATAAGGATTTGAGGTGGGCAAATATATATAGTTCACTGTCTTGCCCAAGACATTAAGTAATAATAATATGCTTCAATTGGAAGAGTGAGATAAGCTATAGATTTTATAATGTCCAATTCTGATCAAACCAATTCAAGACAAATATGGCGCATAAAGAACTCATCACATCATATGTTTTTTGTCAAAACTTTAGATGACCCAAATATATTGATGTATTGGCTTTCAATACCACCGTATCATTATAGCAGTAGTATAGACAACTCGATAAGTGCATCAGTATGTACTTTATTAAAATCCTTTGACTTTGGAAAAAGCTTACTCTTAACAGATTTTAATAGCAATAAAATGATTTAACTAATATGAAATGCTATGGTTGTCAATAATCATGAAATTGGAGAAAACTTCATATAAATCAAAGCTCTATCTCTACTGCTTAATTAGCATTGTCAATACAGCTTGAACAACTTCACTTAAATAAAGTGAAAACCTAATTTTAATGACAGCTGAAATAGCTTACAATGACCAAACACACTACAAAACACATTAAATGAACCTTCAGGCACCATAACTGCTTCAGTGGAGCAAAGTTGTTATGGTGACCTGAAGTTCCTAGCGCCAGTTCACATATAAGGGTCAAACAATTCACTGGAGTAAAGTCGCTATGGTGACAGGAGGTGCCTGGTGCCAGTTTACATTTAGGTGTTAAGCCATACACGTACGGTTTAACCCCAAATTCTTCTCTCCAGCTCTTTCTCTGTCCTTCCATTTCCCTTGGATTCTTCAAACAGGAAATCTCAAATAGGAGCTCTGTTGATTAGAGTGTCAGCTGATGCCCTTCGACAATCAGTAGCTCCCCATTCACAAAACGGCTTGAGAACCGTATGCATTTCAGTGGTTTAACACCTAAGCGAAATCTGGAGCCAGGACCTCCTAGCACCATAGTAATTTCATTCCAATGATGAGGTATGGTAAACAAAAGTGTTCCTTTAATCCCTATATTATCCTAAGAAACCAGATTACACATTAAATCGTACATTACCCTAACATATAACACTATCATTAAACATTAATCTTATAAAACATATTAACCTTTACACTACACAAACACTAAACATCAACGCATATATTACAGTAACGCTAACCATTAACCCATACGTTACCTTAACTCTTACACCAACCTTAAGCCTAATCTAAAACTACAATTCAAGATAAACTATAGATTAGGGGGAAATAATAGTGATGTCATAGGGGGGAAATTATATTTCAAGGTTTTGGAGATAGTTATTAACCACTCACACTTCAGTCTATTATCATAATTACAGAATCCCTCAATGGCGATATTTCTAATCTAAATACAAAGAATTACACTCTACTGATTATTTGTCCAGTACTCGATTGGTCTTAGAAGCATGGGAAAAAAAGTAGATATTTATCTTTCAATTAAAACTGCTGCTTTGTTCATTCAGGAACTTTTTTTTCAGAACAGTAAAAACAGCTAGTTCCGGGTGTATAATATGTTTGAAGTAGTTTTTAATGTTTGTTTGTTTTTGTTTTTAAAGCGGCCCATTAATTTAAATGCTTTAACTCGTCAGTTTAAAAAAGAAAAAAGTTTTTTTTTTCATATAGACAGTTCATTTATACACTTCAATCATGGTGACAAATTGAAATCGAAATTACAAAATTCTGCCTTTTTTTCAAAACTGCTATTTTGGCATACATTTTGCTATTTTTGTTTTGCTTCATTTCAGTGTTTGATAATTAAAACTCAATTTATGCTAAATTTTTATCACCCCCATTCACTCATTATCAATTAGAAAAATCTGAAAAAAATTGCATGCAGTCCAATAAACTGTGACATTAAATACTATGTTATTAATGTGTCCTATAAAACAGACCCATACATTCAGTTTGACAGATTCAGGAACTTGGTGAACAGCTTGGATTCTTTATATTTTAGATTCTTCGGTACCGTGCTCAAGGCTATTACCTTGTTATACATTTTTGTTCTACAAATAAGTCTTTCTGTACTTTCGCTGACATGAAAGGGAATCTGAGTAATACTTCAGGCTCTTGCTCACCCAAATTGTTCAATTGATAAGATCACCTTGTAACTCCTTTGTCTTTTTTAACTTAACATTAGCACCTCAATAGAATTTAGAGAACCAATTTAGTGATCTATTTTCCTCTGTATGCTTCCAAATGCACATCAAAGGGAATTTGGAAAGATCAAAGGCAATAGAAACATTCTGATTATGTACAACATGTAGGTAGTGCTTTGTTTGTTTGTTATCTTCACAGTTTTGTTAAGGTTTGTTTCTTAGTTTTTTTTTTCTTTTCAACGTCACATCCTGTCTCACAAGAGTTCACCTGGAGGCAGATCTCATAGCAACCTAACTTTCTTCAACAGTAAAATATATATTAAAATGCTTATTATGCATTAATTAGAAATTGAAATACATTTAAAATGAAAGGTATCCACTCAAACAGGTGCTTCTCCTGAAGCAAACCAGAGATCTGATATGCTATGCTTAGCCTTCAGGGATGACCACTTCAATCAGACAGTCCATGACCTCACACTGAAATAAACTGGACAAGCACAGCATATGTGGCATGCTGATATGGCATATGGCATGCTTGCATGTATGTGCATAGAGTAAAACAAAAATGAATGGAATTCATTCAGGCATGTGCAGTTATGTGCTTTAATTGTCCATTAAAAAGGAAATATAGAATTAAATGGAGCAGGCGTTGAACAATAAAATAGTTGTATATAAATATAAAATGAGAAAAATAATAATTATTACTATTGCAATTTATATAGCGCCATCATATTCCACAGCGCTTTATAATATTGTAAGGGGGGGAATTAAATAGTATATACTATTAATATAGAGGAGAGCGCTAGCATTTTCAACCCCACTTTCATGATATTACCTACATTGTCCCATTCTTGAGGTGCTGAAATAAAAGGGGCCATTATGAGAGTCCTTCCCTATAATTAGTGGGCACCGGGGGCTGCCACTGTTAAATATTAATCATGGTCTGCCACATATTGCTATAGCAAGCTATATTAAAGGGACACTATAGTCCCTCAGGTTTTAACCCTGAAGATGCAAACATAGCAGTTTCAGAGAAACTGCTATGTTTACATTGCAGGGTTAAGCCAGCCTCTGGTGGTTGTCTTTCGGACAGCCTCTAGAGGCGCATCTGCGACGCTGGAGGCCTTTAATGCCTCCATCACGCAGAGCGCCATAGGAAAGCATTAGGAAATGCTTTCCTATTGACAGCTTGAATGCACGTACCGCACTTGCCGTGAATGGAGAGGTCACCAGCGCCGGCAAAAGGTCCTCGGCGCTGGAAAAAGGTAAGCTGCTGAAGGGGCACTATAGTGTCAGGAAAACCGCTTAGTTTTCCTGACACTATAGTGATCCTTTAAGTCACTGCAATTAGAAAGGACATCTACAGATCACTTGTTATTGGGGGAACATGGGCTTCCACACACACTGTTTACATTTTTCGCTTTGACTGACAGAGATTGGAAGAGTGGATAGGAGGGAGCTTGGCTCTCCCATCGGGTTATTGGTAGAGAGACCTGGACAAAACACATGTTTAATTGATTATTTATGTGTTCAATGCTGTGCAGAGTTAATCTATTCTTTTTTTTTTTGTATTTGGCAACACAAGTGTTATTATTATTAGCATTTCAATATTTGTATAACGACATATTCCAGAGCACTTTACATGTGGTAACTTAATTCAAATGTTATAGGTCATTGATAAGCAACAATTTTCTATGAACCAATAGTTGTTTTTGTTTGTTTTTTCACTGTTAGGTTACTTTACCTGAATTTTGTAATGCAGATGCAAATCTGAACCACAGTATCTATCTAAAAAAAATTTGTTACGAAATCATAAAATTTGCGAGATTGGTTCATCTACAAGCATATGCCTTAAAGGGATTTTCCAGTGCCAGGAAAACATTCTTGTTTTCCTGGCACTGCAGGTCCCTGTAGTGCCCCTCTCCCTCCCACCCTCCATCCCAAGTTGCTGAAGGGGTTAAAACCCCTTCAGTGACTTACCGGAATCCAGTGCCGATATCCCTCAGCGCTAGTCAGGCTACGCCTACTATCCTCCTGCGCCGATGTCAGCCGGCGGGGGAGACCTAATGCACATGCGCGGCAACGGCCACACATGCGCTTTAGACCTACCCATGGGAAAGAATTATTCAATGCTTTCCTATGGGAATTTTGGCAACGTTGGAGGTCCTCACTTAGCGTGAGGACGTCCAGCGTTGCTTAAATCACTTTTTGTATTTTAAGAAGGCGGAAGTCCCTCTAGTGGCTGTCTGATAGAATAATTACACTTGCAGGGTTAAAGGTAGTGGGAGTTGGCAACCAGACCACTCCAATGAGCAGAAGTGGTCTGGGTGCTTGGAGCATCCCTTTAAAAATGTAATGTCATGTCGCCAACATCTTAAAGGAACACTCCAAACACCTAAAGTACTTGTAACACTCCAAACATCTGAAGTACTTTAGTTTGCTGAAGCACTTAATGTATGACGAGTGTGTCAACTTTTTTACATTTCACAAAAAATGCAGATTTCAATTGAAATTGGCACATTTATAAACTTACCATGTGTACACTCCGGGCTGTCAATCAGACAACCAGCCCTGTTATTTCCTGGTAGTCTAGCTAAGTGGAGTTAAAATAAAGAAGCAGGCAAATGCCTTGCAAAGACTTTTCAGCTGAGCTGCATTAGAAAGTCTATGAATAGAAAGCCACAGAAAGTTGGTTCTGGGGAAAAAGGGTATATCTAATAAATAGTGAATATTTTATTTTTATTTGGCATATTCCTTTAATTCCTGTGGAACTCAAGAATCAATCTTAGTGTACAATAAACACAACTCAATGGTTTGAGGGCTGTCTATCCACAAATTAAACTGCGCCTTCCACTTGCACCACAATGAATTGCTGTTCATTTTCTTCTTTTAAACTCTATATACAGCTGATACTTTTAAATTCACTTGGATGTACATTTATTGATTAGTGATTAAATATAAACTTGTCACTTTAAAGAACCACTAAATAGTCTATTCGCTAAACAGGTAGTTGATAACTGACTTTTTTTAAACTAAAATGGGCTTTTTCCAATTCTACTATGTATACCTAAATTCTACAAAAACCTTGCCAAATCACAATTTAAAGAGTGGACTCATAAATAAAAAATAAACAGAAAAACAAAAAATAGTTGTTTGTAACAGTGATAAGCTTTATTTTCATTGTTAAATAGCGTAGTATTCAGATGAGGACATCACGGGCAAATAACTTAATTATTTCAACATTATTTTAACAGGTAAAACAAGAACTAAAGAGAAATATCGTGTGGTTTACACCGACCACCAGAGGTTGGAGTTGGAGAAAGAATTTCACTACAGCAGATATATCACAATCAGAAGAAAAACTGAACTGGCTGCTAACTTAAGACTTTCAGAGAGACAGGTATACAATTCTGTAAAAACACAAACATTTAAACATTCCATATGCCCACAACAGGTGAATTTAGCAAATCATCACAAGGTTATTCGCTAAAAAGGGAATTGTTGGTATTTATATTTTAGGCAAAAAATAAATTAATTCCACAAATTTTCAATACAATTATTTTCTAAGGCTCACCTATTCTGGCTGAATATTTGAAATTCCTTCATCAACCCCCAAGACTTCTGAGTTTAGTCAATAATCCTTCCAGATTTCAGAAGCAAAGCTTCTTCCGTATAACTAAAGTAAAATAGATCAATTAATTAATTGTGTGCACATGTATGTGAATTTATTATTTAAGGATTTATAAATGGATTTATTCACTGGTCTGAGAATAACAATAGCTTGCAACAAGTGCTGAGTTTTGAGACATTGTACACTTGGCTGCTTAGACTTACATTTCAAATTTCCTTGTCAAGTCTCTACAATTCCTCATTCAGTTAATACAATCTTAAACTGATTGTAGGAATCACACTCATACCCCAGCAGCCACCGGTGCTCTGGAACAGGAGCAGCAATCCCAATACGTCAAGGCAAAAAAATAAATCTCCAGGCACTCTAGTGTTAAAGCCGCAGGCAGATTTTAATGGAACAGAAAGAGCAGCAATGTTTCAGTTTGAAAAAGACCTCTGTGGAGGTTGAAACATTGCTGCTCTTTCTGTTGCGGCTTTAACACCAGAGTGCCTGGAAATTTCATTTTTTTATTTATTTTTTTGAATACAATCTTAAGCAGCACAATCCATTATAAAAAGGATTAGAAATGCTCATCATGCATGTGAGAAAGTAAAAAATAAAATAAAAAATGACTATTGAAAGTGCAGAATATCCTACAAGGGAAGTTACTTAATCAGCAAAAATCAAAATGCACTCAAGTAGGTAAAGACTGCCCAAAATTAAAGTTTTTTTTATAGACATATACAGTTACAGGGTTATTTAATAAAGTGAGAATTTAAAGTGAATTGCAAATTTGCACTCCCCTCCCCCACAAATGAGTACTTTATAAACATTTTATCTTACGTAGGGACTACTTTTTCTCAGCATATTTTCTACACTTAACAAAAATTTACAAAAAGCAGAGCTACCGCCACCAGGTTCTGTCATTTGCCCCCACTAGTGCCAGCTGAGGGGAAAAAGGCATTGTCTATGGAGGATCACATGGAATGCTCAAGAGTACAACACTGACATGGGCTCCTGGCATTGCATCTGACAGGAGCCCATGTCAGTGTGGTATTGTAGGAGAGGACTGACATGAAGTCAATAGTGGCGGCCATGAAGGACAAGTTCTGGAAAGTAAAACTAACCTTCCCCTGCACCCCGTGAGAAGCTCAATGGAGAGAATTTCCCCACTTCAGTTATGTTGATCTTAATTTTTAAATTCACTTTGAATTCTTACTTTAGTGAATAACCCTGTTAGTCAATGAATGTTTCTTTTGTAAAATTAATTAAATACAACTATATAGTAATAAAGTTTAGTAATTAAGTATTAATATTATACTAAAAAAAAAACAGTTCTGGGTTTCTTAAGAATTTTCATCTTTTTTTGGGCTCACTGCAGAAGAGAAATAAACATTTCTTAAATGTAAATAGGAAGCATAAAATATAATGCTTTGTAATGTATACCACAATGTTTGCCATTAATGCCATGCTTTCTTGGGCTTAGTTACAAACTGTGTTGTGTGTACATAAGTATGAATAAATCACTACACTTCTAGTAATAACTAGATTCATCCATGCTAAATCAGCTGTTCCAGACTCCTTTATTCCACCAACCATTCATCATCAACTATACCTCTCAACCAGACTCTACACTGACACCCCAACATCTATAGGGTAAGGACCTACAGTCTGTACCCAAACCTACAGATACCTTACTAACACTGCACCCCAATCTATTGTCTCATTTTACTTCTCTGAAGAGTTGACACCATCTATTATTTCTTCCGTTCTTTTCACATCCCCAATAAAACTCAAATGCTCTTTCTTTTCCTCTGGAAATCTCCTTGTTTTCATTACTACTTACTAGCTTCCTTGGCTTCTTCACCTACTTCAGGAAGTTTAAACCTAACGCCATCTGTGATACAGATTCATGATAGTGACAACCTTCTCCTTTTGGCTTCTACATTAGTCATTCTATTTCTTCAACACTCCCTTACAATCTACTCTGCCTTTTACATGCAGTCCCCTTGCTTCAAACTTCATCTTGACTACAAGACCACTTACGAAACATTTCACCGTATTTCAAGATGTTCTGTTCATCACTGCAAAACTTAATAAATTGAAAAATAAATGTTTTATTTAAATGTCTGTTTCATTATATTATTTTTCTTATTTATGTTGTAGATAAAAATCTGGTTCCAGAACCGCAGAGCCAAAGAAAGGAAGCTTTTTAAAAAGAAGATGAATCAGTTTGAGGGTGCAGGTTCTGTACAGAGTGATTCCAGCTCAGCCAGTCCGAACCCAATGTGTGACTCTATACCAAACTCTTTTTACCAACCACCACCACCACAGCATGCTCTGAATAATTTGCAGCCTAATGGGATTATTTCAGAAGTCACAGTCACAATATGAGCGGAACACTTTGGATGTAAATATATTGAACAAATAACTCAGTTAAGAGAGAAGACGTTCTCGTATGCACTGCGGATAAAAATATGGGTCCATTTATCCAATATCCTGAGAAAGCATTGACTCCCCATTGTACAATTATACCTCTAGCAAAAAAAACTCTTAACAGAGGGGAATTGATGACACAAGCAATGCTGTGTGAAAGATTTATGCTAAATATATGGAATAATGCCATAATATGTATTAACTGTACTCGTGTGTGGTCATCCATATTTAATACTTGTATAATCCACACAAAGATGCTGCCTTACTTGTCTGGCCTACGCAAGACGATCCTCTGTCAATTAAAAATCAAAAGCATTTGCCAGTTTTACCTCAGGTTTGTGCTTTGCTGTGAAAAGTGTAAACAGTGTGTTACCTCAGTTGAAAAAGTCAACCAATTTCATAGAATAGCCCTCTTAGAAAAAAAAAAAGAAAGAGAAAAAGTAAAAAAATAAATCTACCCAGGGCAAGCGTACAGCCCATTGAAGAGCCCTGCAGAGTAATGTATTGAGAAGACATCTTCCTGTCTGCATCCAGCCCACTTTTCTTTACTCATACAAAACGTAGGGAAGTAGTCTCTGGGTAAAGGTCATGCCCCAGGTGACTACAAAGAGGTCAGTAGGTCAGCCATTGATCACTAAGACTGGGTGTATCGCTGATCTGCATACATTCATCTCCAGGTCAGCCCTATGGAGAGAAATGTGTAGGGCCAAAGGAAGTAACATGTTTGAAGAGTGTTTTTTTTTATTGTATTTGTGCTTGACAAATTGGAAGATACGGAACGCCACTAAATTATCTAAAGAAAAAGTAACCTGGTTTAAAATGAAATATGTTTCAAAAGAACAAATGATGTGCTGAAAAGAAAACAAATGTAAATATAATTATTTAGCGTGAAAACGCTATCAGAATTTCTGAATATAACAATAAAATGTAAAGTAAATGTGGGACAAGTGTCGTTTTTATTTTTGCATGATGCTATAGAAAGAATTCCTAGGAGGCTTGGCTGCAGCACTATCAAATACTTGTATTAAAATAGGTGCTGGGATTCTTTCTAGGTTCTGTATTCAATATTTTCCAGTTTCAAAAGGGAAAATAAAAAATCTAAAAATCACCACAGCATGAACAATCACCTTTGATGCAAACAGATTTTGGGAAATGTTTACTCTATACATGTATTGGAAGTCCGGTTATATTCATTTAACTATTAGCTAATTTCTCATATTCTCAGTTTTTATTCATTTAGCTAGCCTGGTAGTTAGTATTTTTTTAATTTTTTTATTCTTTATTTATTTTATTTTGTAGTGCATACTATAACAAAAGAGCTTGCCCTGACACAACAGCAGGGACAAGCACAATAAGTTCAACAGAGTAGTACAACAGCATGGTATTAAGTTAACAGCGCGTTATTGTTTTTGGAGACACATGAACATGCAGGCTAGGATAGTGAGCTTGCGGTGCCATAGTAATATGGTCATGCTTTTCAGAGACAATCATTATAAATCAAAGTTCCGACTTTAAGATGAATGGCATCAAGTTATACAAATGAAAATAATACGTACTGATAATAATAACCATAGGCTAGAGTCTAGGAGGCTGGGTTGTAATAACCTTGTCAGGCTAACAACATCAATTAGGTATGTAGAGGGTAGACTGTAAACTGAACAGTGATACTGCACACTGAGTGAAGGTTGTATGTGGGCAGAGCCCCCGGAGCTGGGTTCTCCATTACGGTGCCCCTAGGTTCTATACATTGGGTGTGACAATCTAGGTCAGCCTGCCACAGTGACTTAACAATCAAACGCAGGCAAGAGGGTTGCAATTGCGTTTGATTGTTAAATAAAATATTTTGAAAATAGGGAGAAATAAAATAAATGAATAAATGATGCTAGAAAGGACACAGCAGTAGATTTCAGATGAAGGATTAGGAGGCCAAGGAAGGAAACTGGTTGCGTCTATTGTAGCGGAAGAGCACTTAATGGGGACCACGGTACAATCTATGTAGATATTAATGTGGACAGGCCCCTCCAAGCACCACTCATCTATCTCTATTCAATTATTTACTTGAGAGGGGGGCTGCCTCAAGGTAGTGACTGGGGTGGGCTTGTGCTGACTATACGCCGCCGGGTCCTCACCTGGGGAGATAACATATAGTTGCGTGGCCTGCACTATGGAGTAGTGTAGTGTGTCTGCGATGAGGCAAGTGGAATAATATTTAGAGTTTAAGTGACTTCTGCAGGTCAGTTGGCGGGAAGGCAAAGCTTTGGCCTGGGGTTGCGCTTGAGTATGGGAGATGGTGGGGTAGCTAGCGTATCCCTGAGGTAGTATATCCGGCATCTCCTTGTTGTAATGTTCCCTTCCTCTTACCCCCTCCCCCTCTTTCCGGTCTTAGGGTATAAAATTATAGAAAAATAGGTAAATAGAAACACAAATAAGAAAATACAAATTAAAGAACCTTACATATCCATCACAACATAGTTCTAACAATTCGGTCTGGGTGAAGGATCCATAGTACTGGGCTATCACGTTAGGGAGTATGTGTCTGTCTTATCTGTGATGTCAGATTATGCGGGCAAAAAGGATTAAAGGACCACTATAGTGCCAGGAAAACATACTCGGTTTCCTGGCACTATAGTACCCTGAGGGTGCCCTCACCCTCAGGGTCCCCCTCCCGCCGGGCTCTGGGGGGAGGAAGGGGTTAAACTTACCTCTTTCTCCAGCGTCGGGCGGGGAGCTCTCCTCCTCCCCTCCTCCCCTTTGGCTGAATGCGCGCGCGCGCATTCAGCCAGTACATAGGAAAGCATTCACAATGCTTTCCTATGGACGCTGGCGTCTTCCCACTGTGAAAATCACAGTGAGAAGCGCGGAAGCCCTCTAGCGGCTGTCAATGAGACAGCCACTAGAGGCTGGATTAACCCATTTATAAACATAGCAGTTTCTCTGAAACTGCTATGTTTATAGAAAAAAGGGTTTAACCTAGCTGGACCAGGCACCCAGACCACTTCATTAAGCTGAAGTGGTCTGGGTGCCTATATTGGTCCTTTAAGTTGAAAGACACATTAAAGTAAGTTCTAGTTTTTTGTTGCAGTTCAAACTTTTGGTCAGTGGTATTTTTGTACCGCACGGTGAGCAGCATGGGTCGTCCTCAGCAGACCGCCGCTAGCTTACGGAGGGTCTTGGGCTCTGCTGTGGGCTGATCCATTCTGACTGGGGACCGGGTCGCTCGTCTCTGCCGCTTTTCCCCAATGTTGCAGCGTCGTGGCAGGCAGCCCCAGCATGCTGAGAAGCTTGGTGGGGTCTTCTCCCGCCGAAAGGATCAGCACTGAGTCGCCGTGGGGCACCATCAGTGTTCCAGACGCTCCCCATCTGTACCGGATGCTGTGGTCTCTCATGGCCCTGGTGCTCCGTTCCGCCAACACCGCAAAGGGTAGGTCGTCAAAGAGTTTTATTTGGCTGTTCTCCACAGCCACAGCGGCCTGGTTTCTGGAGCAGGTCAGGAGGGCTGTCTTGACTGATATGTCTATGGTCTCTCGAGGTGCATCTGCAGGGGCAGTGGGGGCTTTCCGGACCCGAAACGCCGAGACCAGGGGCAGCGCTCCACTTTCTGCCCTCACACCCAGTGCTCCAGCCACCTTAGCAACAAAGTCCATCAGGGCCTCAGGGTTCACAGATTCCGTATTCCCCGGCGCCTTATGTTTCTCCTGCGGTGCCTGTCCTCCAAAGATGTGACTGTGTTGGTAAGTCTCCGGATCTGCAGGGACATGGTATGTATCTGGGTTTGGATCTCTGCTAGTCGGCCGTCTCGCTCTTCCTCTCTGGAATCCACCTCCCCGATGCGGTGAGTCAGGGTGCCTATCTCTGTCTGCACCCCCGCGAGGTCCGCTTTCCACACTGCCCGCAGGTCCAAGAGCAGTTGTTTAATGTCCCCTTTAGTGGATGGGGATGTGTCTGTATCTGAGTCTATCCTCTGATGCACGCCACTGTCTGTCCGTGAGGCCATCATGTCTTCCTCCCCCACGGAGTCATCCGAGGTACTTGAGCCTCGTGGTCTGCCGAGGGCCATCTTGGTCCGGGCCTGAGGCCGCGGCCCATCGAAAAGACCTGCGGATATCGGTCTGACAGAGACCCTCTGTGTGGGCTAATTTTCTGTGTTTTCGTCCCATCTTTATGTTGGAGGTATGGGCTGTAGTTTGTCTCGACTTTTGTTCTTTTTCGTGGCTTTATGGCTATTTTTGCAGTGTGTGTAGCAGGAGCTCTGCACAGACACGTCTGTTCGGTTGCTCTGCTGGCCACGCCCCCCAGTAGTTAGTATTTTAAGTGTTAACGAAAATGACAAACCTATTTTGTGGGTCGTCTTGGGTTCTGCACCTATATTTATCCTCCACCAACCATGTAGTCATTATCATCGTTTAACCCGTTAACGCTGTTTCGATGTTCTATGCATGCCACATTAATACGGCATAGCACACCTTAACGGCGTGTCGCCTCTGGCCATCCGGTTCAGGGGGCTGCCTGACAACCCTATGCCATGTGATCGTGATGACGTCCTGATCACAAGGCCACAATAGCAGGTTTCAAAATGCCTACAGGGGGACTTCCTGGGATGTGAGGCAGTCCCACAAACTGAAAATCAGGTTACAAAATTGAATGCTACACAGATATTTATAAACCCTAATAGCAATGAAATTTTATATTTAAATATGTATATATATATAAAGATTACATACACATGCACATATAATTTAAATATATATATTTAAATTATATGTGCATATGTATGTAATCTTTCTACATAATTATATGATTTATTATTTACAATTTGAGGGACCTGCCTGAACAATGTAGGCAGAAAGTCAGCTTTTCTTAAGTTTTATCTTTTAGCTGTTGTAGATAACTTCCTAAATTGGTACCTTTATGTGGGATTGCCATATTTAAGGATACCAAATTAGGGCACTTTTTAACAGATAGCACCTTATTTGATGTGCTTAAATATGTAATTCCCACATAATGATAACAAATAAGGGACTTATTTACTAAACAACTGAAAGATTAAAAGAAATCAGTGGCTTTTTAAATTTTGATCTTTTAGCTGTTTCGTAGATAATTCCCTAAATGAGTGACCTTATGTGAGATTTCCATATTTAAAGATATCAAATTAGGGTGTTGTTCAGCAGGTGGCACCTTAAATATGGCAATCCCACAAAAGGATAGCAAATAGGGGAGTTATCTGCTAAACAAAGAGCAACTTTAACCCCTTAAGGACCAAACTTCTGGAATAAAAGGGAATAATGACATGTCACACATGTCATGTGTCCTTAAGGGGTTAAGAGGTTTCAGGTAGGAAACAGGAGGTTGGCTGACAATGTGCACATTTTGATTTTCTGCATGTGTGTCACTGTGTGTCAGCCTGTGTGTGTATTTGTATGTGTATCAGTGTTTGCATCTCTGTGTCTGTATTTGTATTTGTGTTTTAATCTGTGTATCTGCATGTGTCAGTGTTTGAGTCGGTGTAGCTGCATGTATGTCAGTGTATATATGTGTGACTGTCTGTCTATGTATCTGCATGTGTGTACCTGTGTGTATATGTATCTGCATGTGTGTCAGTGTGTATGTGTATTTGCATTTATCTCAGTATCTCGCCAACACCACACACAAACACACCCCTGCATTCCACGTCAACACTACATACAAACACATCTCTGTATTAAAATACCACCATTACATATAACACCACTGCATTCAAAAACCACACTACACACAAATGCATGCCTGCATTCAAACGCCACTGCTACATACAGACGCACCACTACATTTACTCACACATTCTCCATTCAAAAATAAGCTTACATTCAAACACACAAACACTGCTCAGTGCTAAATACATTTAAAAAATTGTTGATGTTTTTTTACACTTTAAAGTTGTACCAGGTACCAAATGTTCTAGGTACGCCTCTGCAGCTCATAGCTCTCCTGTCAGTATGGGGCCCCAACTGACAAAGGGGACCCCCCAGTTATTAAAAGATGCCTGTTCATTGCTCAACAGTGCACACAAAAAAGGAACACTCCAAACTGCTGACTCCCAGACTTTAATGCAACTCACACAATACTTCTTTAACCCTTAACCCTCCTAACCACAGCTCCTAAAAACACAGCACCTATTCTTCTAATAATGTTCTCATTTCATTTTTCACTTTCTCTCTCACTTCCCTCACTATCAATATCTCTCGATATTATACATTAAAACATAACCTACACTAAAACATAAAATCTAACATACTTACCACTAAATATTTTTTGTAAAATAGACCGATAGACGGTAAATAGACCGATGCTAAAATATTTCAATCCAAACTATATCCTTATATTTTTTACTTATTTATTTGTGTACCAGTAACATTCTATAAATAACATTTATAGAGAGAGATGAGAGAAAAAACATTTATTTGAATTATTAGAATAAAATATTTTGAACCTATAAATTCAAAAGAATTGCCTTTGCTCTAACAATTCTCTAATATCCCTCTCTAATTTCATGGGCTAATCTGAATGGTTTGAATCTATATACATATTTTTTCTTTCCATCATATTCTATTATTTGATCTTCAAAAGGATACAGACCACACTTTGCAAATGAACCTGGAAAAGGTGTGACCAACATATATTTATGTTGGGCCAACAATGTACTTTGGAAAAAAGTTCAACTGAATGATCGAATAGTATACAAATAGTACATGAAAGCATCCCAACCACCACCCAAAAAAAAGAGTGAATACATCTAACAAGTGTCTCAGATTAAAGTAATAAAGCTATATAAGGAATGGTGGGAAAAACCCTTTACTTATTTGCATGTTCTATAAGTGTATATGTTCCTCTCCTTATGTACATTTAAAAGTGTTAACCAAACATTCAAGGTCACAGCAGGTAGTCAGCTACATCCTCATGTGTGGTCATAAAAGGAAGTATTAGAAAGCACCTATGGGACAGACTGGTTGCTTTGTCATTCTGTTAGCAGCTGGTGTCCCATGGTAGGTACTGGGTGCAATGCAGAGGACATGGTTTGACCTGCTGCTCAAGAAATCTGTAAAAAATATCCTGTAGCCTCCTTTATTTTTACAGAAGTTTCTACATGGTAATGTCCATCCAGGTCTGAGAGGGTGGACATCCCTTGAGGTAGTTGCAATTTTTGTTAAAACACTTTAAAGTCACCATTGTGCACAGTGGACATTGTGATGACTAGTAGCCTTAAGCAATTTGTTTGAAATGTGAGACATTTGAATTCTGGAGGCTGGAGTCACATGTATGGTGGTGTTGGTGCACTTGATTTACCTGATGTTCTTGTATTCCTTGAGTCTTGGGTTTGCTGGGCTCTGGTGATTTGATTGAAATTGATTTGTTGCCAAAAATTTCCACTCCTATATCTACATCCTATTCATACAAACCAACACCCCTGGTTGAAGTGACCGGCTGGGCCCTTAGGAGAGTTGCCAACATTGTGGCTCCTACAATAGGGGTGTTTGTAATTTAACTAGCTTGTGTGCCTACGTCATAGTTGCTTGTGAAACCATTTGAGATTCAGGCGGTCGATTCTGCAAATTGTAACCATCACGGCTTATGCTTTTCAGGCGGTATTGTCATTGATCGATTCTACAAAGTTTAACCATCACAGCTTATGCTTTTTTACTTCTGATTTCCAGCCATTTCCACACGTGTAATGCAACCCTTTGGAGAAGACAAAAGACAGTCAAGCAACAACCAAATTTGCCATTTTAATATCTGCCTCCACTGATTCCTCAGTAGCCTAATGTGGTTTATTTGCCTTTGGCACATTCAGTCTGCTCTCTATATGCCTGAAATAGCTCTGTTTTATCATTACTGCTTACCTCTGGCCCCTTTGGCCTTGGCTCTAGACCAGTGATTCCCAACGTATTTTCACTTGTGTAGTTCTTGGAAGCTCATTTCCATAAATTGTCTTCTCATATTCGCAAAATGTTTGTAATTAATATAGTTGCAGTTATTTCAAATTAATAAATTTTTCTCTGTCTCATGTCCCCCTTTTCTCTGAACTAGACTCCTTTGCTTGTCCTCTGCCCCAAACTGCAGCGACAGTAGTTCCGCCATTATTCCATGTTTTTCATATACCCCTGGGGGAACTGGTTTGTATGCTTGGGGGTGGGAGTCGCTGCCCTAGACTACTATACCTCTCTGAGGTTTATTCATTGCATCAAGTCCAACAACACTTTAGATCAGTAATCTATTCTATCCGTTTTCCCATGCAACATATGCAAACCCATATATAGTGTGTTGAATCTCTGTTGCTTATCTTTGGAATTACCAGGAGAAGCTTTTAATTATTATTACTTAGCTAGGCAGATGGCCTTACTAATAGTCCTGATTCAGGGCCTTCTGCCACACCACACCATATTTATTTCTAGTAGAGGTGCACCACTGGCTGGAACCTCAAATATCTCTTTCATACCAAAATAATGAGCAAACAGACTCCTTGCACCATGACAACTTCAAAGCACTGAGATGGTCGTGGTCCTTGGAGTGACCATTTAACGACATGACTCCCCAACAACCACATTGTTTTTAATTGTACAGTTAGCATCACTATTTTTTATTTTTACATTTGTTATGTGACTCTGAAGACATATTTTGTAACGTAACCTGTTATTCTCCGCTGTAATTCCTGAGAGACATGAGCTCTCCCCAGATGTCTGCTAGACTAGTTGGTTAACCCAGCAACCATTGCTCTTTTAAATTGCTTTTCTGACATGCCCTATTTTATATATTCAACACTGTAATTGCTAGTTTTTGACCTATGACCTGTCTCCTGTCTATGATAATTCTTAACCCTGTCTTGTTTTCATCTGGACCCTAATAGTACTCCAGTCCAAGCTTCCCTAATACTAACACCATTTGAAATAACTACAGCCTTTTATGTCTTTTACTTGCCTTGTTGCCAACTTGTATTTGCAGAGACAGCTAATAGTCCATACTAGCTGTGAGTGTGAGTATATCTGCCACAGTACTTGTAGGTGTACTAGGATTAGCTGCATTATCTAGTTTCCTGAGCAACATAATTCCAAAATTCTTCTCATTCACAGAAACAGGAGGACACCACATCAATTCATTCTGATTTGTCAAACAGATAGTGTTTACGTGACTAATATTTCTAACAGGCAAAAGAGCACAGTCTTTTACACTTCATTCACTAATTACAGTCATTTCATAACTCACACTAACATTTTTCTGTGAATCATTATACAGATTACCCACCATAAAGGTAATGACAATCTTCTATTTCTCCATTGGATGATATCCCGGCTGTTTGCACCTTTTCAAATTCCTTCTCATAGCCAGACACTTGCCAACTATGACAAGCATTCATCTAGCCTGTCACCTGGAGGTATCTTGGACTGTGCGGTAAATCATCCATTGCAATTCTTCTGAAGCCATGACTTCCAGACTAAAAATGGCACTCCAAAATAGCCTCATCAACCATTTTTAAACTATTATATTTGCATAGTGCTTTACATAAAAGTGCCTTAAAAGTAAAATACAATTTAATAATAAATCTGAATAACCCTCGTCATCTAGTCCCTTAATAAAAAAAAAACATAACTGATAATTGCATATTATAGGAGAAATAATGCCAATTCTAGAGACATTATAATAAATGAGACCAAAGGTTGAATGGTTTTTAAATGTCTCTAGAACCTCAGGATGTCATTATTATTCCATAATACATGCTCTGTCGCTATGTATCTTTTATATCACATAATATTTTTATGTTAGGATTAGTTTAGCATTATTGTTAAGGTACAATAGGGGATAATGGTTAGTGCGGGGTCAAAGGTTATTGTTAAGGTACAGTAGGGTTTAATTGCTCGATTTATAGTAGTGTGAGGGTTGATGTTTAGTTTAAGTATAGTGTACGGGGTTAATGTGTACTTTAGAGGTTAATGATTATTGACTGAGTATGGGGGTATAATGTAGGGCTGTTAAGGTAATGTATGGGTTAGTGTATAGTGTAGCATCTTAGGCAGTTCCACGGCTAAGACTTTAATGTATGGGCAGAATTAGGACATACATGTTCCATTGCTTCATGAGATTAGAGGGCGATATAGTCCTAAGCAGCAGCTATTTCATTTTGGTTTTGTTTTGGTTGTTTCCGAGATTAGGGTCGCTAGATACCATGGAGGTAATCCTTGCATTATTAACCATTCATTGTGGGTGAAACTTCTTGCATATCTTTTGAAAGATCTATAACATTTACTACTTGCATGACTCGAAGTATTGTAGAGTAGAGTCAATATACACCTCCAGTGCAATCATTTTCTTGGTGTAAAGCCTTCAAAGTAGCAATGATATTAGATACATCACACCAACTCTCTGTTCATCAAAGGGAAACTGATAGTCCTCAGTCGCTACTTTTCCAACAGTGAGATTACACATGTGTTATTAACTAGTCAATTTGGAGCGTTAGTGGCAGCTGGTAAAAGTAGCAACAAGCTTAGATCTAGTCACTAACGTTTTTCCATAGACAATGACAGGACTGGTACAAAGTAGCCAGATGTATGAAGATTGGCCAGTGGTGCAGGGCTTACCTCACTGACTGTGAGCAGTCAGCTGACACTCTCAGCCAATGAGGTGTGCATGCACTGCAGTGTTTAGCTCACCCTGGCAGACCCCAGTTAAGAAGCCAAACCATTCTAAAGCGGTTTGGCTACATACTATGGTGGGACACCAGTGAACTCGTGGTACCATAATAAATAAAGTTGTGCTGTGGTTATGGTGCTTAGAGTGTTCCTTTATGAGACCATGAGCTAACTAGGTCTTGTGCTAGCCAGCAATACGTCCTAGTATTATTATCCTTTGATGGGAGAGTCAATTTTAGGGTTAAATAATGGTATATTTTACCTGCATTCACTTTCAATAACTAGCTGGGTTATTTTCTAAAGTGAGAATTCAAAGTGAATTTCAAATATAAGGCCAGAATTCACCTTGAATTCTAACTTTAGTAAATAACCCTGCATATATTCTGTTTGTATCTACTTTGAGTATGTGTTTATATAGCAATGGCATAATTAACCCATTATCGGCGTTAGGGCGTGCTGTGCTGTTCTGCAAATGGAGGACTTTAACATTGTTAGGGCGGCATAGCATGTCCCAACGATTGAGCCCTCTTGGGAGCCCAGACACTTCCCTTCCATGGCGATCTAGATTGGAGGGACAGCCTGACAACCGAGGCAGTCCCCATTCAGCAAATCCTGCTCATCCGCATCATATGTACGAAACGTGTACGCAATCACATGACCATATTAGCAGTTTACATACCTACCTGGGTTGTCAGGCAGATCCCCCAAGTTAGAATTCAAAGCTGAGTTGTGATACAGGGGTTAAAGCGGCATGAGTGCAGATAAGACACAGGTTTGACAGAAAATAGACAACATTCTTGCAGAGGGTTGTAAATTTATTTCTGAAGATCAGAGTGAGGGGGGGGAGGAAAAAAAAAACAAAAACAAAAAAACAAGGTTGTCATTAAAAAATTATGTTAGTCCAATAAAAAAGGTATTACAGGGGGGCGGAGCCTAGCTTCCTAGCAGAGTGGACGTGCTGCACAATAGCTCCTGCAAGCCAGCCACTAAAACGGGGGATATACCCCAAATCATCGCGCCCACACCGCTGGGAGTGTGACTACAGAGTGGGGGAGACCCAGGAAAACGTTTTAATACTAATCTTGTACCCGCAACTCACCGGGTCCCCACGATTCCAGCCTGAGGCCTAGCTGCGACCGAGCCAGGGAGAGGCGGCCGCTCTCCTGGTTGGTAACCTCGCAGATGGAAACCTCACCGTACTCACCTCTAACCCCCCCCCCTCTGGACCGGCGGGGGTTATCCCGGTCCTCGCTGGGTGGCACAGGCAGCCGGCCAATACTACCTCCCAACGCCATGAGGCAGCAAGGTACATCCAAGATGGCGGAGGATGGCGGCTGGCACAAGCGATCGCAAACCCTATGCACCAAGCATCCCCAACACAGCCTGCAGCGCCTGGACGCTCACCTCAGCCAACACGGGGCTAAACAACAAACCGAACAACTAGCAGCCCAGATGCCGCGGTATGCAGAAGCCCGCACGGGTGAAAGATGCAGAAAGTGCAGGGGGACCGCGACAACGGCTTACCGTGACCTGCTGGAAGGCACACACGACTACCCCACAGAGGGAATTGGCTGACGACATCGCGGCATGGCAGGGCTTGCGGCCACCGCTGGAACTGTGATTCTAAGCGAGCAGACGGCCACACACTGAGCCCTCCAAACCAGAGTGAACTCTTTATACCTTATCCTGAAGCACATGCCTAATAGTTATACTCTGCATCTGAATCTGGTACTTTCCTTTTTGAGCCATACCATGCATAGCTGCATTATATCTGCACCCAGTGATACCGTAACCTAGCTTTAAATCACTAATTTGTCAAACCTACTTTATCAATATGCTGACACTGCCAGTTTCATGGCATGTTGTATAACATATACCTAAAGCTTGGCTAGTCTAATGTTAATATGTTACTCCACTCTATGCTTAACCCTCTTGTAGAATGTCTCTTCCTAAATGTGGCATAGAGAGGGATGTAACTGCTATCGTTTCTGTTCTCTATATTAAAAAATTGTGCATGTCAAATATACAGTACAGCTCAGCCAGAGGACTGCCTTTGGGGCACCTCAGGCCTATATGTCATTCTTTAATGCACTGCAAAAATAAAAAATTAAAAAAAAAAAAAAAAGGTATTACAAGATACACATTTTATATGTTTTTTACATCTACATCACTGGACTAATACAGCTACAATCTCTAGTTTTATATATATATATATATATATATATACACACACACACATACACACACATGATATATACATTCTTACATACAAAGTGCACTCTTTTGTATATTGATATATTATATTGCCATAATTATGTATTTTTTTAAATTAATTATACAATATTTGCCGCAATCCTTGCATACAGGCTCCAATACTGTATATTGCAAGATCAGGGCAGATAAATAGCCAAATCCAAAAAGTTCAAATTTTATTTCACATGAAGAAAGAAGAGATCGACGTTTCAGTCACCTATTTGGGACTTTCATCAGGATCAACAATATACAATCATAAATAATACTTTTTACCAGTCCTATTATTGTCTATGGGAAACATTTAGTGACTAGTTCCAAGCCTGTTGCTACTTTTACCAGCTGCCGCTAACGCTCCAAATTGACTAATTAATAACACGTGTGTAATCTCACTGTTGGTAAAGGGGGACTCTCAATTTCCCTCTGTGCTAGTCTCGTGCACTAACATCATTGCTACTTTGAAGGCTTTACACCAAGAAAATGATTGCACTGGAGGTATATTTATGCACATTAGACCTCCTCCCCCCCATAGGAAAGCATTATTCAATTCCGGCAACGCTGGAGGTCCTCATGCATAGCGTGAGGATGTCCAGTGTCTTTTTAAAACACTTTTCGTGTTCTAAGACCACGGAAGTCCCTCTAGAGGAGAACCTAAACCTTCAAGGTAAGTATTGCAGTTTATAAAAACTGCAATAATTACACTTGCAGGGTTAAGGGTGGTGGGAGTTGGCACCCAATGGGCAGAAGTGGTTTAGGTGCCTGGAGTGTCCCTTTAATATGAACAAGGTAAATTATGATTGAATGGACATATCGCTCAAATTCTAGGTTTTGTTGTTATTATAATTGAACGTAGAAAAATGATTAAAAAAATTAAAGGGCAGGAAAGTAACTATGTCAGAGCAAAGTTTATACTCTGTGGGGACAAGCGAGAACCCAAAAATCATAGGTATGAATTCAAACATCCTCCATGTAAACGTTTATCCAAGTGTCAGCTTATTTAGCATCTAAAGATACATTTTAATAAAAGTTATGCTTAATTTTCAACCATTTCAAACAGAAACAAACATAGTGTGACCATTACTAACTCAAAAAGCCTAGTAAATATTATTCTTAAAAGTACAGCTTCCACTGATTGCTAAACTACCATTTAGTAGGAGCTGGTTAGAGCCAGCAGTTACAAAAAAACTGGGCAGCTAACTAAGACAATGACCAAAAGTCTCGTAAAAAAAGCAGTGGTAGAACTTCAAAGAGCAACTGTTTGATGTGCTAATGTAAGGATAAAAGCAGGTAGATACTGTAAGTGTCTGTTATCTTACTATGATATCTATATCTATTGGTTGTAACAAAGCACAGAAAGTCAAAAGTTTTCCGTGGTCTTTCTTTGTGCTCCTTGCAAAACTTGTTTTTCCTACATACAGTATTTGTTCAACTTGAGATTTTATTCTAAAACACAATACCTCCTTAAAGACACAGCTTTAGCAGTAAAAGGCCAGTAATATTTCTGACATGTGTCCTCAATGGGATAGTTCCCTTCTGCCTTAAACCAGTAAGATAAAATGTTATGTTTGTGCCTAATTCTACCATACATGGCAAGAGTGGCAACTAGCGTACAGGGATTGTAGGCTGTAAACTCACATCACTATTCTGACAGGCCCATTGTGTGCGTTGCTGCAGACAGTAGTATCTGGGGCCATATTATGATGAGTATGAATTATTTGGAAGTAGCTGGCCAAGTGAGGACAATGGGCATTTAGTTCTCTTCCTCATTCTTAAAGAAGTGCATTTAACCCTCTTACTCACTATTAAAGAAGTGCATGTAATACAAAGATGAACCTACTGATTGACTTAAATAATACAAATTGATGGACAACTTGGACTGCTAGTAAATCCTACTTAAAGAAAAAAAAAAGAAGAAAGCACTCTAAGCATTTTAACCACTTTCGGCAGTAATGATACAGAGGGTGTTAAGATTCTGTATCTTGAGACCTCTACTGGTTTTAGCATTTGATCTCCAGTTAACTGGTGCAATGTTATTAGGCAGAGAGAGCAGCATTCACATGGATATTCAATAACTGCAATAAAAACTAAATATAAATTGCTTTCCATTTTAAATTACAGTAATCCTGATAATTGAAAGAAAAGTACTTCCACTGCACTTCCACCATTCAAAAAATCCAAACAGAGTGTGAAATGTATTATTATTCATGTAGCAACAGTAAGAAATGGTTAATAAATCAGCCATTTCCTTAGTTGCTTAAGTGCCTGGACTCTGAAACTTAGCCCAAGGATAAAAAGAGTGGATAGGTATACAATTTATGACTCAACAGATCTATTCTGTGATAGACAAGCAAAAAGAAAAAGAAAAAAAAAATCAGTGATTCGACTAATTTTCCTACATACAGTATTCTGTATAATGGAAGTAAAACTCAGGAAAGAATTGTCAAATAGTATATCTAGGTGTGCTTGTAGTTCTTTTGTGCTATATATTCTTCAGGATTGCTTACAATGGGCCTGCCACAAAAAAAGCATAAATTCTTACCAGCATTTTAAAATATTTACTGTAAAGAAATTCTAAAATATGTAAAATATGTAAAAATATCTAAAAAAAATAAATTTAAATAGTCATTATGTTGTTTTTATTTCAGGCATGTGTCTATAAAGCAATCCTTACTCCTGGTTTTTGCACCAATTTAAAAAACAAAGATATAAAATAGAGGCTACTCATCATGGTCTGTTTGCACAGAGTTTGCCATATCTCTTGTGCAATATGGAGTAAGATAGTCAACTGGGGATACTCAACAAGCCCTATGCTAACAGCCCTATGCTAACAATTACTACGATGAATTGTTAGCATAGGGCTAACCAAAGAGGCAGCAGGTGATCCTACACATTAAATGGCCGATGTAGTGGTACAAAATCCACTGTTACTTAAATGTACATACATACACTGCAGGGCTAAACACCTAGTATGTCCGGGGCATTTCTAATTACTTATCCAATCGCCGCCGTTCCCCTGTGAGCGATTTGCATTCCTCTCGTTCTGGGGTCTGTCAGACAGTCCCCCCTCGGCAAATAAGGCCCCCCGCGGCCATGCGATCACTCAGAAAGAACGGTCACATGGCCGCAATACGCATCCATAGTGCAGCTTGCAGGGGGACTGCCTGAACTGACAAGCAGTCTTTCTGCATGTGTAAAATAAAATAAAAAATAATGTTAATAAATTAAAATTACACATGTATATATATATATATATATATATATATATATTATATAATAACTATATATATATATATATATATATATATATATATTGTATGTATATTATAAAAAATAAATAATAATTAATTAAAAATAAAATATGAAAATAATTTTAAAAAAAATTAATATATATATATATGTAATTTTATTCTGACTGTATTGTGATAATATATATATATATATATATATATATATATATCAAAATACACTTACCGTATATACCCGAATATAAGCCTAATTTTACACAAAAAAAATGGGAAAACGTATTGACTCGAGTATAAGCCTAGGGTGGGAAATGCAGTAGCTACTGGTAAATTTAAAAATAAAAATAGATCCCAATAAAATTACATTAATTGAGGCATCAGTAGGTTAAATGTTTTTAAATATTTATTTACAGTATGTGTGTTTGTGTAGTGTGTGTGTATATAATGAATGCACAGTGTGTATGTTTGTGTATAGTGTGTGTATATCATGAAGGCAGAGTGTGTGTGTTTGTGTAGTGTGTGTATATAATGAATGCAGTGTTTGTGTTGTGTGTATATAATGAATGCAGAGTGTGTGTGTTTGTGTAGTGTGTGTATATAATGAATGCAGAGAGTTTATCCAATGAATGCAGTGTTTGTGTAGTGTGTGTATATAATGAATGCAGTGTGTGTGTATATAATGAATGCAGTGTGTGTATGTGATGCAGAGTGTGTGTATATAATGCAGAGTGTGTGTTTGTGTGAATGTAGTGTGTGTATATGATGCAGTGTGTTTGGAAACTGGGCGGTGGGAGGGCATTTTTTATATTTTAATATTATTATTGTAATATATAATTCTTTTTACTTTTGTTTTTTTGTCCCCGCTCCCTGCTTGTTACCTGGCCAGGGAGGGGGGATATGTTAATCCCTGGTGGCCCAGTGGCCCACTAAGCACTGGGGGGCGGCAGCAAGCTGTTCCTTACCTTTCCTGCAGATCCCCAGCATAAATCTCGCGTTCTGTGTGCCGCGCGGAGCATTGCCACGGGCTATGACGGCAGCGGGACTCGCGAGATTTACACTGGGGAGCTGCAGGAAAGGTAAGTAACAGCTTGCTGCTGACTCGCTTGGTAGGTATTGTATAGTCCCGTTTGGGGATACCTCTGCTTGGTGTGGTCGCGGGCTGCTCCTTTTCCAGTGTGGTCGATCTGCTGCTGCCGCCATGTTAGGCCTCATGCTTCGCCACCTTCTCGGTCAGTCATGGTGGGCTGTGCGCCTCAGGGGCCTGTGCTGGGTCATAGCAAGCGGGCGAGGTAGCTTTTGGCGTTTGCTTGCAGGTTGCCCCTGGATCTTGGTGGTCTTTTTCGGGCAGTGTCTGCTCTTAGT